ACCAGTATAATGCAACTTAATAGGGTTTTTTTCATGTTAACCAGTATAATGCAACTTAATAGGGTTTTTTTCATGTTTTCATGTAAACCAGTATAATGCAACTTAATAGGGTTTTTTCATGTATAATGCAACCTAATAGGTTGCATTATACCACCAGACCAAGACCCAAACGAAGACTCAGACCACCACCAGATAATGACCACAGACCAGGTTTCCTTAGTTACAGGAACCAAATTGTTTCAGCGGTGAGGGGATTTTTCAGTTTCAAGGACACTTTCAATACATTCAGTAGTTTCAAGGATTTCAGCTGTTTAAGAATTTAACCAGTTTCAAGGATATCAGGAGGTTCAAGGATTTCAGGAGTTTCCACACTTTCAACAGTTTCCAGGTTTAAAAAAGTTTCAAGGATTTCAGGAGTTTCAATGTTTCAACAGTTTCAAGGATTTCAGGAGTTTAAAGGTTTCAACAATTTCAAGGACTTCAGGAGTTTCAAATATCTATCAAGTATTTTAACAGTTTCAAGGCTTTTTAAAGGATTTCAAGGATTTTTTTTAGCAGATTTCCACATTAGATCTGTTCCGCAGTCAATCGCAATGGCTTCAGCCATTGCAAGTTTCTAGTTTACAAATAATAATAATTTAAAAACCCTACAATGTGAATTCCTTTTTCTCACATTCTGTCTCTCACAGTTGAAGTGAACCTATGATGAAAATTACAGACCTCTGTCATTATTTTAAGTGGGAGAACTCGCACAATCGGTGGCTGACTAAATACTATTTTGCCCCACTGTATATATTACCTGATGTTTCTCTTGGAGGTTCATCAACAAATGCAAAGATAATATATTTGATGAAAACTAGCAAATCCTGAGAAACCAGCTGACCCAGGACTGCGTCTCTCAGCTGGCCTGGGAACGCCAACGCCTCAGGATTCTCCTCAAGAAGGGTGTGTGGCTGCCTCCGAGACCTGGAATTGGGTAAAGTGGAAGAAAATGGACGGATGGATGGACAGTTTTGATATTTCTAAAGTTGAAATGATAAATGATACGGAAAGAATAGAATTACACAACACGATACATATTCAGATGTAAGATTTCCATAGAATGCCTCCTTTATCGATCTACTCACAATACAAATGATCTAATTCAGCGGTAACTTGAGTATTTGTAATTTTCCACTCTTGTTTGGAGCCGGATCACGCAGCAGAGGCTAAAGCATTTTACTGATGTCTCCGCATTTATCAACCTCTTGGAAAGTCATTTGGACTAATTGTTGTTGTTTAGAAGCAAAAGGCCCACTGAGACTGTGGAAGCGAAGGGTTTCTGGTTAAAAATTACCCAAGCAGAGTTCAATTTGTCTCTGCGGCAGAAAATGGCTGAATTCTAAATCACTGCTTCTGTAACAAAGTGCTGCTTTAGTTCTTTGGTTTATCTTTCACTTTTACAGACTTTGGTTTCATTTGATTCTTGTTTTAGAAATCTGCAGAACAAGCTATGATTTTTTTTTTTTTTTTTTTTAAGTTAAATGTAAAAGTCATGGCACTTTTCAAACACGTTTATTTCCTTAAAGTTTTGCCAAGATCCAGTTCAGTAACTTTAGTAGCATTGGGCTAAATTTGGGCATTGTCCTTCGAGGCAAATTTATTTTTAAAGCACGGTTCATGCTGAAGTGACCCAGGAAGAGCACTGGGAAACAATAAAAGTGGAATACAAACATACATACAATTCAATAAATATGTACTATATATGAATACATCTACAATGATTATAATAATACTAATACTACTACTACTACTACTAATATTAATAATACATTTGTGGACATTCATCAACACTAAACCAATGTGTTTCTGTTTTATTTCTTGTGTTTGATTCTCTGATCAGTGTTGGAGAATTCAACGGTTTTGTAAAGTCCTCCGGTATAACTACTATTGTTAAGGTGATACAAGAATACATCGAATTGCAATGAAATGAATTGAGTTTTGCTTAGTTGGGAACAAAATACTCGTTGGGTTTGTATTTTTGCTCTGTCTCCCTCTTCCCTTTCTGTTTTCGAGGGCATGTGTGTGACCGGGGCGTGGCCGGCTCTGCATCTGTGAGACTCACACCGGTCCCATATGTAGTATCGGATCTGCTTAAGACTCTGGTGCAGACCTCACTTCTCCGTCAGATTATTCAATGTCCCAAGTCAGTGCGAGTTTGTTCTTTTGTATTTTTTACTTACATTTTTGTGTGTCCTGTGTTCACGTCTGCCTTTTTGTGACCGTCCAGCTCCCTGTCTCTCCTGCCAGTCTATATGTTTTTGCTCTTGTTTTTGTAAAGTAAATCCAGTTTTTGAATTGCGCTCAGTCTCCGTCTTTGCTTTGGGGTCCAACTCACTGCCCTAACAATACTCAATTCATTACCAAAAGCCCCACTTCCCAACCCAGTGGGAAAAAGTAAGAAACCTCAGATAGTTCCATATTGAACGAGGGATCCACGGCCCACGGATTAACAGGCTGTAGATTCATAGAAATACTTCTTGCAGAGTTACAACCAAATCTAATATTTAAAACACATAAAACATATGTCGCAGTCTTGGAAGTTCAGCTAAATATTGAAGATGATTGTCAGTTGGCTACTTCTAATTTAAGCATAAAACAAATTAGGGCTGGGCGATATGGCTGAAAACTATATCACATTATATGTAATTCACATCGGTCGATAACGATATACTGTATATTGATTGTTTTTTTGTTTTGTTTTTAAACCTAAATAAATACATTTGTCGTGTGGGCTAACACACATTAGCAGCCCTTGTTTACAGTCACTGAGGAATGGGGCTGGAAGAATATGTTGACAAGCACAGTGTCCCCCATTGTTAGTCCTGGTTTAGTCCTGGTTTAGCTCCTGTTTTGGCTGTTTTCGAGTGTCTTGTGTCCCCGTGAGGGCTCCGGAAAAATGATTAGCTTTCTTTTGCTATGCTGTTCCTCGCACGGATGTGCATAACCATAGACACGGCACTGAAACACGATCTTTAGATCCATGGACGCTACGCATCCATGGACGCTAGAAGCCTCTACCTACATCCCCAGAATGCTTCTCACTCGGCTTTACTTCCTGTGAGTTTGTGTAAGCTCTCAGTCGTACAGGGATTAGTCAAAGCAAAGGAAGGGTTCTCACCCATCATCTGTACTTCTTAGCAAGTTTTCCCGATGTTTCGTCCTCAAACTAGCGGACTTCTTCAGGGAATGAATTCTCGGACCGCGCGTTGGAGATTTATAACCTATGGGTGTGGTTAGCCACACCCTAATCCTGATACTAACTCATAAACAATCTCAGGTCTGCTTGATGTAGAAGGGAGCAGGTCTAACGACCCTGCTGAGGCTAACGACCCTAACTCCTTAGCATGTCACAGACCTATTGTCTGCTGGGATGCTCAAGTGGAGTGCAGGTCTCACCCCTCCTAACTCATTAGCATGTCACTGACCTTGTCCCAAGTTAGGGCGTTGTTTTTAGGATGTCGTCATAGATGCGAGGCAAAACAAATCTTAAACCTCCTCCTCTGTTAAGAGAAGGTTTTTGTTTCCTCACAAAAATGGCTTCTTTCACTCCTCTCTCAAACCAATTCTTCTCCCGAGCCAGAATTTTAACCTCTGTGTCATCCACCGTGTGGTTGGAGGCCTTGAGGTGGAGATGAACAGCCGACTGTGGCCCACTAGAGTTTTCTCTACGATGTTGGTAAAGTCGTTTCTGTAGAGTTTGTTTGGTTTCTCCAATATATTGGTCAGTGCACTCCTCTTAACTACATTTAATTGAATACACCACATTGCTCTGTTTGTGTCTGGGTGTTTTGTCTTTGGGATGCACTAATTTCTGTCTGAACGTGTTGAAAGGTTTGAAATACAAAGGGATTTCATTCCCTGAAGAAGTCCGCTAGTTTGAGGACGAAACGTCGAGAAAACTTGCTAAGAAGTACAGATGATGGGTGAGAAACCTTCCTTTGCTTTTACTTCCTGTGTTTTCTTCCTGTTTTTTCTAAAGGAGCGAAGTTGAACTATGGAACATTCTATCAGCCTTGTTTTCAATTAATATCGAACACGTGTCTATCGCGATATATATCGTTATCATTTTATCGCCCAGCCCTAAAAAAAAAAAGATGGATGCCATTTTGATTCCATTCAGCTAATTCTTGTATATCCCTAAATCACAACAGTGGTTATCCCAGAGGAGTTTTCAAAACCCTCGATTCACCAACACAGATCAGAGAACAATCAGTTCAAACACAAAAAATGCAATGATAGAAATCACATAGATCCATTAGTCCAAACAGGGCAGAGACAAATGTCCATAAATATTAATAGTCCATACATTTCTCCAAACTGAACATGGTGAGTAGTAACCAAACTTCCTCCACTGTTTACAAACACAAAAACACCTTCTCTTTTATTGCATCCAACACTTTCCCCAATCTTCACCCAATTCTCTGAAGCGAGATTCGAGTGTTTGGAAGCCTCTCCTGAACCGCTGCCATCTCCCAAAACCGCTCAAACACAACGATATTAATTCAGCACAAAGTTAATGACATTAGCACAACAATATTGCCTCGTTTGAGCTGTGAGCGAAGTAGAATCCTCGGCATCTGTTTACGCCTCGCTGCCGGAGGAGAACACCCGCGGACATCAATCCGGTCGACTTATTGTACGAGAAGCGTCAAAATGATCCATCCAGGACCCCCCTTACCCCTCCCCCCCTTTCCCAAAAGTCCAATTACCTCCATTCTAACACAGGCACCCGGGAACGGACGCATACATTTTGCATATGCCGCGACACACAATTAGCGTGCACGGATCTTAGCGTTTAAACAGCGTTACGGAGTGAGGGATGAGCCGGAGTGAGTTTCATAAAATCCCAATCAGCCGGGGGATGTGTGCGTGCTAAAGCGGGCCAACTGTTCGTGACGGCGCTCCCATTAATCAGACTGATGCAGATGTGTCTTCGGAGGCCAATAACAGGCCGGAGCATGGGGCGAGCGAGTGGAGGAGAAGAAGAAGTGACGGGTTCCAGGGGAAATTTTGGACGCAAATGGTTTACGGTAAGAGTCAGGGTTTGTACCACTGGGTTTTTAGAGTTGTTCTTTGCAGAGGCAGGCGGGTCTAAGGACAGTGGTTAGGACCCAGGACACACCACATGTATGGACTTGATTAATTTTTTAGGACCTTGTGGACCATTGGCTCTACTCTGTGTTGGCGAATCAACGGTTTTGTAAAGTCCTCGGAGATAACTACTGGATGACATAGTCTGGGATCGCGTCTTTCATTCAGACAGAAGACATGTTTTATTGTCGATGGTAGAGACAGCACGAACAACACGAACAACAGAATGCAAGTGTATTATACAGAGCGGAGGCATGGAGACCTCCAATCAGCAGCTGCCACGGTGCCATGTAGCTTGGCCTTCAGATAGACAAAACAAGGGAAAAGTACTGGCTTCTGCACATTGATAGAATGATGAGTTTAACTTTAACAAAAGTTGCTTCAAAGTGTTATTAAATCTCTACACTACCATAGTCATTTAGGGGCATTACAAAAATACATGTATCAAAATTGCCCTCAGAGATTTACTCACAGCTCTAGATCTCCATCTTAAGGCCACCAACCACACTGTGAATGCCACAGGGGTTACATTTCTGGCTCAGGACAAACATTTAATGAGATTGGGGTGAAAGAAGCCATTTTTTTGTGGAAAAACAAACCATCTCTAAATAGAGGAGACGAGGTGAAGATTTGTTTTGCCTCGCATCTATGACGACGTCCGGAAAATAATGCCCAGACAGAGAAAGGTCAGTGACATGCTAATGAGTTAGGATCGTTAGCCCTAGCAGGATGGTTAGACCTGCACCCCACCACAACAATCTCAGCAGACAATAGATGTGTTAATGAGTTAGCTTCAGGATCAGGGGGGTCTAACCACTCTCACAGGTTATAACTCTCCAACTCGCAGGTGAACTTTCATTTCGTTTGGCTATTCTTCCTACTGTAAGAATGAAACGTTGAAGAAACGTTGATGAGCAACCTTCCTTTATTTTGAATTAAATTAAACGTAAAGTGCAGACCAAAAGTTTGGACACACCTTCCCATTCAAAGAGTTTTTTTTTTATTTTCATGAAAATTGTAGATTCTCCCCCCAAATGTATCAAACCTATGAATTAACTCATGTGGAATTATGTACATACTTAAAAAAAAAAAAAAAAGTATGAAACAACTGAAATATATGTTTTATATTCTGGTTCTTCAAAGTAGCATCTTTTGCTCTGATACTGCTTCACTCTTGGCATTCTCTGGATGAGCTTCCCAATCTGCTCTGGGACTCGGAGATATTTATTCTTACTTCATAGAAAACCCGGGATCCATCACTCAAGAAGGATCTTTGGTGAAAATCAATTTTTGTTTTTCACGGCGGTTAAGTGGCCCGGGATTTCGCCGATGCGGGAAAGTGGGCCTTTTAAAAGCTGTGAAGAAGATGACATTGTCTGGGATCGTGTCTTAAATTCAGACAGAAGACATGTTTTATTGTCGATGGTAGAGACAGCACGAACAACACGAACAACAGAATGCAAGTGTATTATACAGAGCGGAGGCATGGAGACCTCCAATCAGCAGCTTCCACAGTGCCATGTAGCTTGGCCTTCAGATAGACACAACAAGGGAAAAGTACTGGCTTCTGCACATTGATAGAATGATGAGTTTAACTTTAACAAAAGTTGCTTCAAAGTGTTATGAAATCTCACATTCCCCCCTCTGGTCATACATTCATGTGTGACCATCGGGATCGATAAACAGCAACATAACATCATAACTCAATACTTAAACTCGGTACTTCAAAAAACTCAGAACTCGGAATACTTCAAAAACTCAGAAAACTCAGAAAACATTTTCAGATCTTTCATAAAACTTGTCAACAATCTTCAGCAAAATACCAAACTTCATCAGTCGATAGTTCCAGATATTGCTTTGAAAACAGTCTCTCCCACTTCTCCGTGTTGGTTTCTTCAGTCTGCATTTGTTGTGTCAAGCCATCAATTCTTCTGTGACGTGTCTTTCAATCACACGTTTCAGCTTCAGTGTCCAGATTCAGCAATTCAATTCAGTCCAAATTGTGTCCAAATTCAGAAAGCCAATTGTTCCAAATGATGTGGAACCACCTCCTCATCAACGCGAGGAAGACCAAGGAGATGGTGGTGGATTTCCGTAGACGCCACTCTGCCGCTCCAGCTCCAGTGAACATCCAGGGAAAGGACATCGAGAGAGTGGACTCTTACAAGTACCTGGGTGCTCATCTTAACCACAAACTGGACTGGACTCATAACACAGACGCCCTCTTCAAGAAGGGCCAGAGTCGCCTCTACCTGCTGAGGAGGCTTAGTTCTTTTGGAGTGCAGGGGCCACTCCTGAATACCTTCTATGACTCTGTGGTGGCATCAGCCTCTTGTACGGTGTGGTCTGCTGGAACAGCAGCATCACAGAGAGGGACAGGAAGAAGCTGGACAATGTCATCAGGAAGTCCAGCTCAGTCCTGGGCTGTTCCCTGGACACAGTGCAGCAGGTGGGGGACAGGAGGGTCCTGAGCAAACTAACATCTATCCTGGGCCATGACTGTCACCCCCTGCAGGACACTCTCTCTGCTCTGGAGAGCAGCTTCAGTGACAGACTAATTCACCCTCGCTGTGTGAAGGAGAGGTTCCGTAGGTCTTTCCTTCCTGCTGCTGTCAGACTGTACAATAAGAACTGCTGAGCCTGTAAATTTCATTCATATGTAATTAGGTAAATTCTTAAATCATGTGCAATGTGCAATACTGCAACTTCAGAATGTCACAGAACAATGTCACTTTACTTATATACTTTTTATCCTGCACTATTTAACTGTACAGTATATAACTGCACTACTACATATATATTTTTTGACTGGTATTGAAGCATTTTCAGCATCTACAGCTAGTTATGTTAGCTAAGAAACATAGCTACTACTTATTTGTATATATTGTGTGTGATCCCTGCGTGCACTTACTACTGTCCTATATGTGCGATGCAACATCGAAATTTCCCCACTGTGGGACGAATAAAGGAACTCTTGTCTTATCTATGTCCATGCAAAAGAGGACGATGGTATTGTCCATGTCTCAGCAGCTCACAGCCTGACTGGAATCAGGGGCTGTGCAGATAGTCCAAGTGCTGATCCAGATGCATTCTCTTGAGGTTTTCCAGTTTACACACATTTTTGTGTAAAAAAAAAAAGTCTTCTGTTCTGTAGATGTTACAGACAATGCCCGCATCCTTCCGCCACCTGAAGAAGAACAAGGGAACAAGGGAAAAGTACAGGCTTCTGCACATTGATAGAATGATGAGTTTAACTTTAACAAAAGTTGCTTCTAAGTGTTATGAAATCTCACAGCTGGTTGCCCCTTTTTGCTGTTACTTACGGTAAACGTGGAACAGGAAGCCGCGTGGATGAGCAACCAAAATGCTATGTTTAAAACTAATCATCGTTCATGAATGAATGAATGAGTGAACAAGTGCGCAGTGAAAGTAGTTGCAAATCTTAAATTTGTATATGAATGTGTATCCACTCATCCCCCCCAGCTTCCCGTTCTACGTTTACCTTAGGTAACGGCATAATAGGGAAACCACTTTACCGCGGCCTTTCTTCCCTGTTTTTTTTCTGAAAGAATTAGACCGGCGCGGCCCTAAATTTAAGTCACGGAGGACACTACAAAGCTGTTGATTTGCCAACACAGATCAGAGAGTCAAAGAGTTAAACACAAGCGACGCCATGATTAAAAAAACACATTGGTCCATTAAGGGACAGAGACCAATGTCCATAAATGTCTTTGAATGTGGAGTGTCCTGGATCATTGGCAAGGAACAACTCTAAAAACCCAGTGGAAATGAGAAAGTGAGGAAAAGCAAGAAACCTCCTGAAGACCCGCATTGAGTGAAGGATCCTCTCCCACGGACGGATTGAATTTGGCTCCAGAAGAAGCCAAATTTAACTCCTGTAACAAGCTCCAAGTCTGCGAAGCAACCGTGGCCTGAAGAAGAACCTATTTATACTTCCAGGCTCAAAGTTTTCCCCCAATTAAATGAGAGTAATATGAGATGTTTTAAATGAACTGAAACATTTGAATAATAATAGTCCATTTGCTCCGGAAGGTTCTGGGAGGCTGAGGATGCGTTGATTAGCGACTCCTCGGCCAGAGCAGCTCATCAAAAAGTCCGTGCTGCGTTTAATTGCTTTCCAAAACACCTTTCGCCCTCCAAAAATCCCATTCCGCTTCCACCGCAGACACTAATGAGCCACTTAAACTTGACAGAATCAGATGTTTTTTTTATTGCTGATGTCTTCAAAGTTGATCTGCTCCAGAGAAGAGAGAATCGAGTAAGTTTGAAGAAGACATAATGTGTTATTTAATCTATAGCCCTGTTTCCACCAGCCCTACCAGGCCCCACTCGACTCTACTCGGGTCTACTCGGGTTTACTCTACTCTACTCTATACAGGTCCACTAGGGTCTACTCTACTATACTCTACACAGGTCTACTCTACTCTACTCGGGTCTACTAAGGTCTACTCTACTCTACTCTACTCTACTCTACCCGGGTCTCTACACGGGTCTACTAAGGTGTACTCTACTCGGCCTTACTCTACTCTGGTCTACTCTACACTGGTTTACGACTAAGGTCTACTCTACTTGGCCCTGCTCTACTCTACTATACTCTACATGGGTCTACTCTACTATACTCTACACAGGTCTACTAGGGTCTACACTACTATACTCTACACGGGTTTACTCTACTATACTCTACACAGGTCTACTAGGGTCTACTCCACTATACTCTACACAGGTCTACTCTACTATACTCTACACAGGTCTACTAGGGTCTACTCTACTATACTCTACACGGGTCTACTCTACTATACTCTACACAGGTCTACTAGGGTCTACTCTACAATACTCTACCGGGTCGCCTAGGGTCTACTCTACTAGGGTCTACTCTACTATACTCTACACTACACAGGTCCACTAGGGTCTACTCTACTATACTCTACCGGGTCGCCTAGGGTCTACTCTACTATACTCTACACAGGTCTACTAGGGTCTACCCTGGCACAGAGCGACCCTATGTGTTTGTTATTACTGTTATTATTAGCATTACATGTTTACATACAACTATATATTTCTTGCACTTCTTTATTATGCTAATATCCGAGATTATGTACTTACATTTTGCTCCTTCATTATAATAAAGTTGGAGAGTTTATATTTGTTTCCTTACTATGCTAAAAATTGAGATTATATACTTGCTTCTACATTAGGCTAGAGTTAGAGATTTTGTTTAATTCACTTTTACAATTATCTTTCGCTGTGTGCTCCTCTTTCCTACTGCTCTGTCACGGCTGATGCAAAACTGACATTTCCCCACTGTGGGACATAAAAAATGACTTTATCTTGAATATCTGAAACCTGCTCAAACTCCTCAACATGTTACTCCTAAACCAGAAACACACACTTTCCCCCAAACTGCAGGATTTGTCATCATCCAAACTGGAGAAAAAAAGCCACATGGACACATTTGCAGATTTTCCCGCTGTGTCATAACTCCAAGTGTGTCCTGGGAGACACACAAATGCAAACAAAAAAAAAAATGGTCCTAGTGTTGCACAACTGCGGCTGGATGTGGACACAAACCCAGGCTGACACTCTGCTGCTGTGAGTCGTGTCCCGCTGAGTTCCATAGGAGCAGGGAGCAGTGGAGCGGTCATTAAATCTCCGGTGACTCCTCACTCTCCTGCTTCCTACGCACTGCTACCAGCCAAGCTCGTCCTGAGGCTGGGATTCTGCACGACCACAGCTGCATTCTGGGGGCCGCGCTGCAAACACGGATGAAGAATAAGTCAAAAATGGCTAAAATATGCCGAAATGTGTCTTAATCTGGAATCTTAATCTTCTGACTGCCTTAAAACAAGATTTGACAATGGGATGAGGCAAAAAATATGTTGTTTCAAAAAGATACAAGAAATGTCTACCTTGGAATGAGAAAATAAAGCAGCTGTTCTTTAAAAAAGACTAAATGGCTTCGTCCCATTGGAGAATCTTGTTTTAACACAGTCAGAATGTGCTTAGATTTAGATAAAAACTCACTCGATTTAAGCAACTCTTACCACATATTTTAGAATTTTTTGCTGTGTGCTCAGAGACGACCATTCTTCTTGGGGAGTGAAGCCCAAAATGAAGTTAAATAAATATATAAATAAGATATGTGTAACCCGGTTGATTTTTTTGAGTATTTTCATTCCCTCCGCAATCCTCGCAATATTTCCGCGTCTATGCGAGACTTAGGCTAGACGTTTATGTTTTAAAAAGATGGCCGCTGATGTCTAGTATTCGGTGTTTTGACTGGGGGTTCAGTTTCTCGGTTGAAAAAACAAAAAATATGTTCTTCACTATAAAGGAAAGTGAGTGAGACTTTGAATATAAAATTGTATGATGGGGAAATTGGAAAAGTGAGCATGGAGCTTTGAAACTAAATGCAAAAAAAAATCTATGTTATGAGATGTGTCGCTGGGAGGGAATGATGAGCAAGCTGTTCTGCTTTGAAAAGACTGTACCAAGGATGAATTAGATCTGTCTTTGACTATGGTTGCGTGGCACACGGTTCAGCAGCTCCTTCTGTTTTGAAAAGATTGGATGTTCTTCAGTCGCCCTGAGAGTGTGTTGTGGAGATTATAAAACATCACCAGGCAATGCCTTTCAGGTGGAAATGGGGGAAATGCCTCTAGACCTCAGAAGGAAGCAAATATCTGTGAACTACTGGGTTGATCATGTCATGGTGACTCACATCCCACAATAGAGGTGCTTTTGGAGTGTTGGAAATACAGAAAATGTCAGAATGATCATGTTGGAAAGGTGGGGAATCAGTGGGCTAAAGAGTGTAATGTGTCTGAGTCAAAAATGTGTCCTCAATGGGTATTTGGGTATTTTTCCAACCCCTTCTGTGGACTGGTACCTTCTTGACCTGAAAAGGAAAATAAAAGGGTGAGTGGGTCTTGTCTCAGTATTTCATGTTCACAGTTTGGCTGAATACTCGAGGGGCCCGAGGACTGGGCTTCGGGCCGATGAACGTATAATTACCTCGGACACGAGCCGGGCTAACCTGGCAAAAGCCAGATTGATGATTGTGTAGAACTCTAACGCGTTCTCCGCGATATCAATCTGGGACTTCTCCTGGAGAATCCTTTCGGGGAAAGGAGGGGTAAGCAGCAGAATACTTGAAGCTGATTGGGCGAAGTGACGCTGTGTGCCCGCCTACCAAGGTTGCCGTCCAGAAATGTACAAAGCGCCTCTCGCTGTTCATCTTTCAAAAAAGAAATTGGAGATTCTGCTAAAACTGACTTTGCGTCCGTCCTCCTGCGTAGCCATGTTTGTTTTGCTTCGGCCCGGCACTTCTTGCTTTCGTCAAACCCGGATATCCCGCCCTAAACCCCCAGACTGGCGCGTGATTGGCTCGCACACCCAGTGGTTCGACTCGAAAAGTGTAAGCGGGAGCGGGACAAGATGTATTCTCGAGTGTTTGTGAACTCACAAATACCGCGAGAATTCAGCTTGCAGGCAAGGTTAGAGCTGGGCACTTTTATTAATACATTTTCAGAGCGGCAGATTACATTTACGAACGCACCCACTGAATTAGCGTTTTATCACGCTGTAGTGTTTGTTGTTCTGTGTAGTATTGTCATTGACGACACAGCTGTGTATCATACAGCTGGGCATCATACAGCTGTGTATCATACAGCTGGGCATCATACGGCATCATACAGCTGTGTATCATACAGCTGGGTATCATACAGCTGTGTATCATACAGCTGGGTATCATACAGCTGGGTATCATACAGCTGTGTATCATACAGCTGGGTATCATACAGCTGTGTATCATACAGTTGGGCATCATACAGCTGTGTATCATACAGCTGTGTATCATACAGCTGGGTATCATACAGCTGTGTATCATACAGCTGTGTATCATACAGCTGTGTATCATACAGCTGGGCATCATACAGCTGTGTATCATACAGCTGGGCATCATACGGCATCATACAGCTGTGTATCATACAGCTGGGTATCATACAGCTGTGTATCATACAGCTGGGTATCATACAGCTGGGTATCATACAGCTGTGTATCATACAGCTGGGTATCATACAGCTGTGTATCATACAGCTGTGTATCATACAGCTGGGTATCATACAGCTGTGTATCATACAGTTGGGCATCATACAGCTGGGTATCATACAGCTGTGTATCATACAGCTGGGTATCATACAGCTGTGTATCATACAGCTGTGTATCATACAGCTGTGTATCATACAGCTGGGCATCATACAGCTGTGTATCATACAGCTGGGCATCATACGGCATCATACAGCTGTGTATCATACAGCTGGGTATCATACAGCTGTGTATCATACAGCTGGGTATCATACAGCTGGGTATCATACAGCTGTGTATCATACAGCTGGGTATCATACAGCTGTGTATCATACAGTTGGGCATCATACAGCTGTGTATCATACAGCTGTGTATCATACAGCTGGGTATCATACAGCTGTGTATCATACAGCTGTGTATCATACAGCTGGGTATCATACAGCTGTGTATCATACAGCTGGGTATCATACAGCTGTGTATCATACAGTTGGGCATCATACAGCTGTGTATCATACAGCTGTGTATCATACAGCTGGGCATCATACAGCTGTGTATCATACAGCTGGGCATCATACAGCTGTGTATCATACAGCTGTGTATCATACAGCTGGGCATCATACAGCTGTGTATCATACAGCTGGGCATCATACAGCTGTGTATCATACAGCTGCAGCCGTTCACTCCTACAAACAGAACTCGTTGCAACACATCACTACCATGTATAACTCGGCCCTCTGGCCGGGCCTGTGTTCATATCATTGCGCGGCACTATATACTACGCTAAAACATTGTTATGGGAGTAAAAAATGTAAATAATTGGGCTTGATACAAGTTTCGGGCCTGAAAATTCAGAAACCATGTCGGGCTGGACTGGGCTGGGGCCCAGATAACAGGCCCGTGCAGGGCTCTAATTGTGTTCACAGATGGTGCAACAAAATTCAGATAATGAATTTACTGGGTTTGGAATAGAGGTCCTGTCAAAAAGTATTGGAATAAACCAACGTTCCTCAAATGGACTGGCAGTTTATACAGTTGAGATGGCAGCAATTTTGGTTGCACTGAAATGGATCGAGCATTCAAACACCAGGCAGGTAGTAGTGTGTTCTGACTCTGCATCTGTTCTTTCGAGCCTACAAAGGGTGTGTTATATGATATTTTGATTGCTGTTTACAGACTAAGTTGAAGTGGTAATATTGTCCACTTTCTTTGGGTGCCAGCTCATGTAGGTATCAGTGGAAATTAAAAAGTTAACAAATTGGCTAAAGGAGCGTTGAATAAAAATAAAATTGAAATGGACATTAAAAACTGCAAATCTGAAGAACAAAGTGTTGTTGTTTGCTCACTAAATAAAACATTACAGATGATAGGTAAACATGATACAGGCTTTGTGAAATATGTCAGGAGGATGTAATCCCGCAGTGTAAGGGGTATGATGCAGAGAGAGAAGTTCTGAAGAGTAGGATGATGGAACTGAGAAATAGGGAGTTCACTCTGCAGAATGTACTGGAGGCCACAGATTAGAGATCTGTGGGATTTCTAAAGGCTATAGGAGTAGATAAAGTTATTTTAGATAAAGTCAATTTCATTTTATTTATTTCATTACATATATGTTTTTTTTGTATACATGATTTAGCCTGAGTTCAGTGTCTTACCCATACTCCGGAACAGTAGGTGGCGGTAATGCACCTTTAGCTGGTTACAAACCGCCGTTGAACAATAAGAAGAAGAGGAAGAAGAAGAAGAAGTAGTAGTAGTAGTAGTAGTATTGCCGTGTGGGACTTTGCAGACGCTTCTTGCCAACTGTGGAAGGACTGCGCTTGTTGTGATCTGAAACATCCTGCGAACTGGTGAGTGCTGCCGGGTGTTTACATGCGGAGCTAACATGCTACATGCTAACGCCCATTCATTGTTACTGTGGCGTAACTTTGGTTTCTAACTCGGTGGGGACTTTCACACCTGTGAATGGGGGAGAGCAAAGGGCTGTGGGCTCATTGTTTAGAAACTTCTGCCCTAGTAAGAGCGACACGGGCTCCGGAGCGTTCACAAACAAAGCATTGCTTCTCTGTTTACATTTATAAACGGAGCTACAGCAGTTTCTATTCACGGAAAAGAAAACAACAACAGCAGCGATCGCTCCTGACCTTCTTCAAATCCACTGGACACGACCCACTCAGGGGAACAGTAGAGTCTGCAAATTGCAGACTACAATATGTCTATTCTGCAATAATCTAAATCTACAGAACTTCACTGACCGAGTTTTAGAAAGTAAACAGAAGCAGAGCGCTAGGATTTGGCGCTGAGGAAGAGTAAGCCAATCACTGCAGAGAGGAATGGGTCACGTGCTACTGCTGCTGCTACTGCTGCTGCTTCTACTACTGCTGCTGCTGCTGCTGCTGCTGCTGCTACTGCTGCTGCTACTGCTGCTGCTACTGCTGCTTCTACTGCTGCTGCTTCTACTACTGCTGCTGCTGCTTCTACTGCTGCTGCTTCTACTACTGCTGCTGCTGCTGCTGCTGCTGCTGCTGCTGCTGCTGCTTCTACTGCTGCTGCTGCCCATCACTGTTAAATTAAATATGATTAGTCGCATTTGTTTGCAATGATTGTGGTACCTGTATTAATGATGATTTAATGACATGATGATGAAATGAAATATGTAAATAATGATATATTGTTCGTTGCTTGGTTCTGGTGATACTTTATGGATTGTTCCACTTATGTCTGGTCCTGTTCTGTACACACAGGATCCTGTTCTGGATGGTGAGCGAAGTCTGGAGAAGACAAAGACTGTATTGAACAACCTTCTAGTGCGGTCAAAGGCGCTGCAGCCGCTCCCCACACACAGTACACCAGGGGTATCCAACCTGTGACTCGGTAGCTACCAAAGGATTTACAATTTAACAAATGATCTTCAATGAATACATTGGAAGTCATTACATATCTATTAAATGTTTAAATAAAAACAGGCTTATACAGTAATAACAGTATATTTTACAAGTGTCCTCCATTGTTGCTATTATTACTTACTATAAAAGGAGTAGCTCTCTGCCTCTCCTGTTGTATGAAAGTAGCTCTCCGATTGGAAAAGGTTGGAGACCCCTGCACTACACACACACACACTACACACACACACACACTCAAAAAGTCTGTGAATGAGAATGTGGACAAAACCTTCACAAGAACTTTATCCTTGGCACTCGTCTTATATGCCTTATATGCGTTGGACTCTTGTCTTGGATATCAACTCAAAATGAACTGTGCACAATTGTAAATACTGTACGTATCTAACTTCACTGTAAAATAACTAAACACGACTGAGCTCATCCTATTTGTTGTGTGTGGTTCATTGAGCAGCCCATTTTTCCTCCGAGCTGAACCAAGAGAGCTTGACTCTAGCCTGTTGTTATTATTATCCTTCTTATTCTATAATCTATTTTCTTTTGTTACTGTAACATTTAACATGTTGCATATGTTTTTCTCACACAGTCTTTTATACTTGCTTCTTTAGGCTAAAGTTAGATGTTATTTCATTTTACAATAGAGTCGGTCAGGACGACCAGAGCTGGGGGTTTTACCAATGTACATACTATTGGGTGGTGGTGGAAACCGGAGCGCATGGAGGAAACCCACAAGACACGGGGAGAAACACCCAACTTTACACAGACTCGGGCTCAAACTTCTGTTCTGCTTTAAAACATGTACATCAATTATGGAGCTTAAAAACTTGTTTTGTTTTGTTTTTTACAGTGAGAAGACTTACCTCTCCAGAATCTTTGAGAGATTTGGACCAAGTACTTTGGTATTTGAATTGTTATTTCTCCTTGCCTCCATCTGATCTCTATGTTGCTGAACCTTCTCTTTGTATTCATTTTGCCTGGTTTATTCAGTTATTGAGCCTAGAGATGCACCGATCCAGCTTTTTTACTACCGGTACCAATACCAGAGCTATGGGTTTCTGCCGATACCGATATGTGCAATACTGCAACTATAAAGAGCTGCTCAATGTTCACATTAAACATTCCAACACTGTATTATACCTTATACATTTATTGAATATAAATGTACTTATATAAACTGTGTTTGAATAAAAAAACACTTACAACAAACAAAACACGCTGCATGAAAATGTAAATAAATAATAGTACCGTAGCTTTAACTGGATTTCAGATATGTATTTGGCAACGGCATGTACCTGGGTTCCAAATGGTCTATGGGGCTGCGAGCCCATGATGAACTCCAACACTTTGGGGTTGTTGCTGAAAAGCTTTTTGTGACGCTGCGTCAGTGTCATCTGTGTCTCGTTGTTTTCACGTAATCTCCTTTCGATGCAAAAACTCCCCATGCTGTTTCTCGTGGTGCTTAGTCGTGTTGTATTTTGCTGGTTTACCGCCGCGTGAACAACGCTGATTATTTCCTGCGCTCCATGCTGTGTTGTTGTTGTTGTAGAGCGCCACGAGGAAGTGACGTGTACGTCAGATCTGATAAATTACTTTTAATTAATTCATTTTATACGTATATGTACATTATGCACAATGTATTTTAAGACATTGTGCGGTACCTGGTATGTATTAAAAATATATATATAATTAAAAAATAAAAAGAAAAGAAAATGGATCGGCAGCACGGCGCCTCTCTCTACGCAGATATCCGATCCAGTATTTTTTCTGGTATCGTCGCCGATATCGATACCAGTATCGGATCGGTCCCTAATTGAGCCACACTAGACAATACTACCATAACAACCTCATCGTAACAGCGCCACGGGGAAATGTCAGTTTTGCATCACCCGTTACAGAACGGTAGGAATAAGAAGCACGCAGCACTAGATATTTACAAATACGTTCTATACACTAGAATAAAACACAATCTCTAACTGCAGCATAATAAAGAGGCAAATACTGTATATTCTAGTGCAATTGTTGTTAATACTTAATTAACAGTAAAACAGAATTCACTTTTAATCCCACATAAAGTCCTGTATCCTGGAGACCAGAAAGATACAGTGGAGTCACCTCGGTGTGGGCCTGACAGTGCAGCTCCACCTCTACAGCTTCACCCACGTCTTATTTTCAAACATGCAGTTTACATGGCGTCTTTAAAGACTCTAAAAATATCGCAAATCCCTGGGTGCGCCTCTTTTGGTCGGTGTGCGCAGGAGTTGGCGTGGGGGGAGATAGGGAGGGGAGGGGGGAAGGGAGGAGGGGGGGTGCTACATTTAAAGCAGTTTCTTAGCAACCGTTGGCGAGGGGAAGCAGGTGCGCCCCCCCCCCCTCTCAAGTGTCTGTCACCGCGCTCCCAATTAGCGGCCGTCATTCCTCCGCCGGCGTTTAGGCGCGGTTACAGTAGCTCCGCTTACAGTCACACGGAAACCAATTAGCGGAGCAGCGCCGCGGCTAATTACCGAGAGCCGTGAGCCTTCAACGGCGCATCACACCCGCCGCAGCCGGAGACGTGCAGACGGACGGGAGCGAGAGCCCGGACTCACAGGGGATAAGAAAGAGGCCTGTTCACAGACGTAGGAGCAGGGGATTTGGGCCTTATCACAGACCTAGGACCTAGAAGTTTTAGGGTTGAAATCTGGGGTACGTCACTTTTTTCTGGAATAATACATGTTTTTTGTCCCAGCAGAAAGAGGGGGAAACATTGGACTCGGCCTCCTATATCTTCTTAAGAATCGTCTTAAGTCGTTCTTAAGAAGATTTCTAAGAAGAGCCTTCGTGGGATTCATCGACGCGTTCTTAAGCCACTGAATTGTTCGCAGCTGTTTTCTTAGATCGATAAATGCTGTCTCCCTGTAAGTTGCCTAGTGAGTCATTAATGCCCATCAGAGGGACTGCAGGGCCGTGTGCAGACACCAGACCAAGGAGAAACATGCCTAAAGCAAAGAGTAAATCCGTCGAAAAACGGGTAAAAAGAAAAAAAAACTTTGGCACTTCAGAGCTGGAAGTTCTACTGCAGGAGATCACCAGGAGGAGGGATGTCCTCTTCAGCAGCCTCTGTGCAGGATGCAACAACACCAACAAAAAGGAGGCCTGGAAGGAGGTCTGGAGAGCAGTGGATGCAGATTCAGGAGAGGGGCGCACAATAGAGGAGGTGAAAAAGAAATGGTTCGACCTTAAATGCGAAACAAAAAAAAACATTGCAAAGTTCCATCGGCAAATGCAACTGACCGGAGAGGCGACCCCCCTGTCCGAGCTGGACCAGCGCATCGGGGCCATCATCGGGGAGACGCCACTCTCCGGTAGGCTCTGGGAACAATTAAAATCACCAATGTATTTCATTTAATTGTTTATTTAAAATTCCCATCTTACTTTTTAGGAGTACCATTCACTCTTGACACAAACCGGGGCATCAATGCAGAGCTGCCCCCCCCTTCCTGGGCCGCTGCTATTATGGATGAATCAGAAGGTAATTTGTTTTATTGTGTTATTTGAAGAATATATTTTATTTTTATGTTTAAAACGTGTGCCCTGTAAGGGAGGAGTTAACCACTGTGTGTAAGCTCAGATACGGCTTTAGTCTTGAACTGGGGTGTCAAACTTGGCTTGATTTTTATTTATTCATTTATTTTCTCAAATCACCGATGAAGTCCTGCAGAGCCAAATCAAAACAGAACCAGAACTAGAATGGACGGAGCCCTCCTGCAGCAGCACATCCACACGAGCCCCTCCCTCTCCACCACCACGCTTGATGTCGGACGTGGAACTGAACAACCAGGAACGGATCGCAGACACGCTGGAGAAGATCGCTGCATCACTGGATACCATTTCAAAAACTCTTTACGATATGAATAAGAATTTAAAAAGAAAATGAAGATGTGCACCGGAACTGGTCCGTCGTCATATTTGAAGTGAATCACTGTCGGCCGTTGTATTTAACTTGTAATCTTTCAACATCATTCACAAACTAGAACATGAACAGTCTGTCCCATCATCGCGTCAGGGGCACATCCTCTCGGTGTCGTGGCCGAGGAGGAAGACCAGGCAAAGAGTCCTGTTCTTTGTTTATTGTAGGTTGAAGAAAATTGAAGTTGGATAAATTTTTGCTTTTGTGCTGTGAGTAAAGCGGCACCAGCCCTGGGCACAAGTCAAACACACACATTGGGACTGGCCTAAACGTGGGGAGACAGTGTTCTGGATTTATGAAGCAACAGTGTTCTAGAAAATGTGAGACTTCTACTGACAATGTTCATTTCCAGGTTTTGTTAAAAAAAAAGTTATTTTCTGTGTAGGGCTGGGCGATATAAACTGTATAAGCGGTATGCGATACTAATTTGGCCAACGGTAAAGATTTTGGTTTTACCAGCATATTGCGATAGTTCATTTTGTCATCAAATTGCACGGGGCCCAACAGAGTTCCTCCTCCATGCTAGTCTGTTGGGCCCTGGTGGGACTTGCGCTAAAGCTAGCACAGGCAGGCCGGGAGAAAGCACCAAAACAACCAGCATTAGCTCAGCTGCATTAGCTCAGCTGCATTAGCTCAGCTGCATTAGCTCAGCTGCATTAGCCTAGCAGAATTAGCCTAGCAGCATTAGCCCAGCTGCATTAGCCCAGCTGCATTAGCCCAGCAGCATTAGCCTAGCAGCATTAGCCTAGCAGCATTAGCCCAGCAGCATTAGCCTAGCAGCATTAGCCTAGCAGCATTAGCCCAGATCACATCCATGGGCTTAATGTTGACAAGCGTGGCCTGCAGCATCATCACAACGGATTGTGCCAAAATTATCACATTTAAATCCAATGCACTGTTTTAATGCAGAGAAATCCATTGCTGCAAGCGCCGAGAAAAGCGCGTAGGGAGCGTCAACAAATGACAAGACCAGCTTTTGTAAACGAACAATAGCTTTTACTGAAGTCTCTTTTTATATTTTGTTATGACTAATAAGCATGCATTAAGTCCTTAACCAGCCAGTTCCACCTGTTTATTTAATTTCAATTTTTACTGAGAATTTGTTTGTGAAGTTCTAAAAACTGATAATTAAATTCCATGATTCCTGTGTAGATTGAAATTTGGAATAAAAAGTGCTCAACTGGATCCACCCAAATTGTGTCCCTTATTTTTCTGTTCTCAAGTTGGCAGCTCTACTCGCTAACCACAGGGTCTTCAGTTCAATCTGCACTTCAAAAGCATGGTGTCTCTTTAATATGGAATATTATATGCTAAAAATGTATTAAATACTGTCTGAAATATTTGTGATTTTGTTTGTGGAGACTGGACACACCTGATTTTCAAACTAAAAAATATATATATTAGATTCTAATATATAAAAATCTTGACTATTTTATGCAAGAATATGAAAGACCTATTGAAATTCACACACCAAATTATACCGCAATATGGATTTTAGGCCATATCGCCCACCCTTAAGTTCTGTGCACACAACTGAAAGATTTTAACTGCATGTCTTTTTTTCTTCATCTTTTATAAAATATGGATTTACGGTGTACTTACTGGGTTTTTAAAGAAGAAATATATTGCATTAACGTTTATCCAATAAGAAATACGTGGATTAAAGGTAAATATATATTAAGGTTAATGACATGACCTCTATAGACGGATGCAATACTTTCATTTGCGATCGCTGCCGACATCTGACCATTTTTCCATGATCACAGAACGGGGAGCGACAGCAAGACTACAACTGCGAACTATTCCACAGACAGAAGCTCGCAGTTTGTTTGCAGATCCAGCAGAGGGCAGCAGACACGCCTTTCCTCATAATCTGCTTACACTAAAGGCAGTAATCGTTCGGTACAATACCCAGTGAATTGATTACACATTAGTAGCTCCAGATTAATGGCTAGACCAATACGTAGTCTGATGTGTTCATGGTTTTAGCCAGGCTTAGCTTATCGCTCCGGTTTGAGCTACATTTCCGGCCTGGACTGCTCTTGTGTGATGCCTGTGTTCCCGTCGCGTTGCCTTCACTGAGCCTGGTACTGTAGAGCGCTGGTGGCTGTTTTCCCGCGTTGCGTTCAGGTTGCCTCGCGTTGCATCACAGTCGGCGTTATCAACAGTCACTGGTCGCTTTGGGATCATAATTTGAGCAACACTGAGTCAGAAAATTTAGACTTTCCAAGTTTTGCCTCATCAAAAACGTATGGAGATTTTGTATTACGTGTGGATTACATGACTTACATGGTGCTGGAGTTGGTGTATTATTCAAGAACACATGAGGTAAAGTACAATTTTTCTACTGCCTATAAATCCCTAAAACCCTAAATTAGACAAATTAAAAATCAATAAAATGTCTTATCTTAGACACTGTATGTTGTCTACGGCACAGACCAAAAGTTTGGACACACCTTCAAACGTTTTTTTATTTTCATGATTATGAAAATTGTAGATTTCAACACAGGCATCAACACTATGAATTAACTAATGTGGAATTATGTATTTACTTATAGTTAAAAGTAAATGATAATATGTCTTATATTCTGGTTCTTCAAAGTAGCACCTTTTGCTCTGATACTGCTTCACTCTTGGCATTCTCTGGATGAGCTTCAAGAGGACCTGAAATGGTCTTCAACAGTCTGGAAGGAGTTCCCATGATGCTTTGCACTGCTGGCCCCTTCACTCTGTGATCCAGCCCCAAAACCATCTGGACTGGGTTCAGGTCCGGTGACTGTGGAGGTCATCTGGCCCAGCACCATCACTCTCCTTATTGGTCAAACAGCCCTTACACAGCTCTGGTTCTGACCAAGTGGAGCAGAACAGTGGGTTAAATAAAACGTGTATATGACCCAGTCTGACTCAGCACAACGGACAGCTCCAAACAGATTCTTCCATTGAAGCAGGAAAATGTCCACAATATTGATTACTTTTGAGGGTAAAAATAAATAAAATAGTGTAAATAAATCAATATAAACTAAATGTTGATCAATAGCAACAGCAAGTTTATTTGTATAGCACAGGTTATACATAAGGCAACTTAAGTGATTAACAAAACAAAATCAATCACATACATTTAAAAAGCATGAGTATAAAATCATTCAGTTGTGTGCACAGTTATTAACCCGGATTTGAACATTGTCTCAAATTTTCAGATTTTAGCTGCATAAATCCAAAATTCTGCCTGCCCATGGTAGTTCCGATTCTGGGCCCCAGCAGGAGTCCAGACCCTGTGCTCCTCAGAGTTCCTCCAACATACAAGGCTCCTCCAGTGGATATGAAAATGCCCCTCAGGACAGCGGTCTCTCTGTCCAAGGGGCAAAGTTCTGGAGCTCTTTAAATAGAGAATTTCCTTCTTTCTCTGGACCAATGGTTTCTATGTGTTTCCTGTTATTGCACGTTGTGTGTTTGAACTGTTTGATTCTCTACAAAGTTGTCGATTCCTCAACAACAAGAAAAGTCCTCCGCTCCGAGATGAGTTAGTTAGGGCTGTACACATGAATGTAGTACAAAGAATTGAAATGATTAACACAGACAAATACAATCAAATTAGGCTATATCTAGAAATAAGAACAGCCATTTCCGATTCCAATGGAACTGCGACTTTGAGAAATCTAACGATGGAAACGCCAATTAGCGAAACGGCCATAGATGTCATCACTCTCTGTAATATCTCCTTGAAGTTCCTCTTTCCTGCTGCGTTGCGTAACAGCCTGAGCCCTGAGCAGAAGCCGCTCTGAACCCGTCCAGGCGTGAAGACCTCTTTAATTGGTTTGTTGTGACCCTAAAACTATTCCTTCTTCTCATTACGGCAGCTGCGGCACCGGAGCGAGCTAACACAGTCGAGCCGCAGCCATTATTCAAAAGCCTTACGTAATATTGACGAGAGAAGTCAGGACCTGGAGAGACCCGAGTGCGATGTGCGTGAGGGCGAAGGCAGCAGCACCACAAGACCAAAGTACATGCATGTGAGAGACCAGAGGGAGACCAGAGAGGAAGACCAAAGAGAGAAACCAGAGAGAGAAGGACCAAAGAGAGAGACCAGAGAGAAAGACCAGAGAGAGAAAGACCAAAGAGAGGGACTACAGAGAGAGACCAGAGAAAGAAAGATCAAAGGGAGGGACTATAGACAGCGATAAGAGAGACTCGAGAGAGAAACCAGAGAGTGAGAAAGACCAAAGATAGTGACCAGAGAGAGACTAGAGATGTGACAGGCCAAAAATACATGTGCGTTAAAACAATTGAAAGAAGTCAACTGTGTTAGATCCAGGAACCAATTATATGGATTGAATTCTTTTGTTTACCCATCTATCTATTGATCTATATATATACAGTATATATCACCTTTTTCCCCTTTCCAGTTGCCCACTTACGGATCGTCATTACTTCTACGGATCTATAAACATAAACAGCCTCTTAATCAATCGTCTTACTGTATTTATCCAGGGACGACCCACGGAAAATCTGGCACACAACATATTGACTTTTTTTACGAGGCTAATGTTGATTGTGCTTTTTCCCTTTCTTTGTATTCAACCCAAAGAGACCTCAGCCCCAGAGTCATACAACATCCTCCATAAAGAACCAATCCAAGACCTGGACTCTAAACAGCTGCAGTTGACTCAGGCCACAGGCGCCACAGCTGCCACAGCCGCCTCACCACTCCCACTGTTTTTGCCTACCTCGTTTGCCTTCTGTCATCCCTGAAGCGGAGACAAATCTCTGGTTATTTTTTGCTCAAAGGAAACATATACCCACACAGCGGACCACGGTCTGAGGTGGAGCAGTGGCTTTGATGTGCTTTTAAATGCCTGGCTTTTCCTGATTGATGATTCATCGTTGTTTAAACCTTATGTGGACTCTATCAAAACACGCTGCTTTTAGATTTTACTTCAGAGATAATTGGTTTTCCTTCCAGCGCTGGA